TTGTATCTTTTATGTATAAATACTTAGTTGATATTAATAAAATGCAAATTTAGTGTATAAATAATGAATAAGCGCAACCAGTTGAAACACAACAATGTTGATGAAGTTGTTTTTCAATATAAAGGGAAATATGCAGGAGGCTAATAACAATTGGAAATGAAAATAGTTCTTAACTATTGTTGAGATTGACAACTAAAGTATATGTTGTTATCATGTGTAGTTAGCAAAAGGCCAGTTTGTAGAATTTACTAATTAGAGGTAGATAATATTATGATCAAATGCGTTATGATTAAAAATGATTTATTTGAGCCACTGTAATATGAATATATACTTTTGATATCGTGTAAAAATTATAAATTGTAAGTTGAATCTACTTATGCAATACAAATCAGTGTTGAAAGAGAAATAAGTAATTCATTAATAATAATGCAAATGTGCATTACATGGAGATTGTTAAAACTGACAGGAAACAAAAGAATAATGATAAAGTTGTTGTTCAAAATATAACAATTGCATAAAACATATAAACTACTGGAAATACAAATTTTATCAACATGTGAATCCTCAATCTTTTGGTCCAACTTTCACTTTCTTTGATGGCTTTGTTCCTGAATACTGCGTAGCTCTATAAACTTGACATCAGACTCTTCAAGATCATTAGAAACTGAGCTATCATTGGTCGGTGTATCGACCAACATTTTGTCAAGATCACTTTCTCCAAATGCAGATAAAGACTTCTTGAACAATATTAAATTTTTTTCCAGTAAATACATGGAAAGTAAAGAAATATATTTTGATTTGACAATAAGTTTTAAACAAACCATGGAAGCCTCGACAGGATCATTGACTGGAATATGGGTCAAAGATATACTATTAGCCTGCATATTAAAAAAATGACATTAACAAATAGTATGATAATTTACAACAATATATTCATATTATTGTAAACTTGATGTGTACATTTATGAATTTGTTCAAACCTCATCAGTAATATAATCTTTTTCAATCTGGTTAATAAATTCTTCATCTTTTGACAGTTTCTAAACAAATGCTTGCCCAAATGTTGGTTCGACTTTCACTCTTAAAGCCATTTGTTTACCCAAAAGCATATCAAGCTCATCAGGATATATCATAGGGTCATCTTCACCTTTCTAAAAAATGGCTTCTTATGTAAGTAACAATGCAAAACTGTGTAATTTTAAAAATAGTCAAATAAACGATAGTACACCTCCAACATTGATTTATACAGATCATTAGCAGACTTTCCAATAATAGCAGCACAATCAGTATCCCAGAACATAAATTGAAACTTTGATTCACCATCAGCAACGTATATGTCGACTTTGTACCTTTTTATATAAAATTTATATAATGGATATGACTCAATATAACTATCAAAAAAATAAGAAACCAATTCAGAATTGTGCATAAAATACACTTAAATCATATAACCTTGGTATAGCTTGTGTAACATTTTCTTTACATGAACATTGATACGGTTTGTTCAAATCAGGTGCCTTTAAAGAGCATTTGGTACATCCATAATAGAACCAACCATACTTTGAAACAGAAAACTTCTGAGTAGTAGCTATAGTGACGCATAACATATCCTAAAAAACAATCAGTTAAAAATTATTAGAAATGTCATTAAAGTATAACTAATAATAATTGTTATTCAAAATTATTTGTTGGAATATACATGTTTGACCTTGCAAAGCTCACTTAAAGAGATGCACTTGGTCTTATGAACAAACCTTTCAACTGCGGTGTACTGGGATGCACCAGACTAAAGAGAAATTAATTTTGAGGATTGAGTAGGTTTTTCAGTATGCTCATTTGCAGGTAACCTGTAACATTATAACTCAATTCATGTAAACAATTGTCAATAAAAAAAGAAGTCTAACTGAACAATAATAATGGTTAATAGTATTACTTAGAAAAAACTCAGTGATCTCTGGAATGTCTTCATTAATTAGTAACTTAGAACCACTTCATCCATTTGAAGCTGAAATTTCAACAAAAAGGGGTTAAAAATTGAAACGTAACTGAGATAAACACACAAAGAAAAACAATATAAACCTTGTGAATCCTTGATCATTGCATGAGTCGGAACAATTACAATAGCACCATTGTGAGTTGCTTCATTATAGTAGTCCAAAAATCTAGAACCATAACTTTCCCATAACGCGCAGCTGACTACTTTACCACTATTTTGAGTACATAAAATAGACATATTAAGAACATATTCATATGAAAGATTGAAACGTAAATAACAGTGTTATCCTGAAAAGGGTATGAATGAAATATATTATGTCAGGTCTTTCAAATTCGGTGAAACAAATGTCTTTTTCCCGGTGTGTTATTCTGAAAATTATTGATCTCTTGTACAACACCAATGATATCTATAAAAAAGAATGAAAAAAATTCAGTATAAATAACTATCTAAAATAATCATTGTTAATAAAGTTCCCATAGCAAAATCAAAACATATGCACATTATCACACCTTCAAGTTTGTTAAGCTGACATTTTCCTTCAAGGATATCCGAAAAGTCTTTGAAATAATAGCTTTTAGAAGGAAGGTTCTGAATATCAATAGCTTTCAAAGTCGTACCACCAAGAAACACGAACTTTTTCGAATGATCACAAAGCTTCCACTAAAAATCATTATCAAACACCGTGCCATTATTGATTATGCAAGTCATATTTTCTTGAATTTGTTCCTTCCATTTTGGTGTATGGTCAGCACAAATCAATACTTGAATCTTATCACCCTGATGACATAAGAAACATAATCAATAACAATAGAACATTATTTTTTCCAATAGATAATATGATTTGAAAATTTTGCAAAATGTTACAGTTGCATCCATGATAATCATATCCAAATGCTCGACGCCCTTGCTGTTAATAACGCTCCATGAATCAATGACTCGAACAACCAATCTCCATGTTTTCTTTGTGTCGTTAATGTCCTTGATACAATCAAATCTCTTACTCATCTTCTGCTTCTGCAAAGATAAAATAGAATGGATTAATTTCAGGAAAAAATTAGTATATATTTGTTTTATATAAGCTGAAATAGCGACTAATCTTGATATGATGGTTTTAGGTTTTGATTAAACAATCTAAAATTGAAACACAAAAGCAAAATTGTTGAAGAATATCGCTTAAGGTGAAAATTGCTTTCTGTGTATGAAATAGAATCAGAGAGAAGATGAATGGATGGAAGAAATTGAGATAAAGGACAATCTCTTATAAAAATGGAGAAAACACTAGGGAAAGTGCAACAAAATGAACCTTGTGCAATGGATGAGAGTTTTCAATATTGGGTATTGAATATATGAATTGGAAATTGCAAGGATTATAAGTGGAGAAGTTAAATGTAGTTGAACAAATAATTAAGATACAATGAAAAGAAAATTTAAATTAAATAAAATATTAAGAATTATAATGACTTATATGTCTTTGAAAATCCTTGATAAAACTGATTTTAGTTGGTTAATGAAGTAAATATAATGATAATTATTAAAAGTAAATATATGTTATATAATCTCAATACTATCTATTATGAGTTATTAGGAATTTTTATTTTTAATAATTTTTTTTAATTACTCGACCCATGCAAAGTGCAAACGCACGGGTCTGCAAATTAAATGACGAATTCTTTCACAATTTTGTTATAAAAATTATTTATATGTTTAAAATTATTGAATTCATATACTTAGTAATAAAAAAAATTATACTCCACTTAATTTAAAAAAATTTGACTCTTAATATAATATTTCTTAAAATCATATCTATAAATGTTTGTAAAGTATCGATTGCATTAAAATTTACATACCGAAAATATAAAATATTTATGACATAAAAATGATAGGAATAGATTCAATTATGTATATCAGAAATTGAATTGATATATTGATTTAGTGTTAGGAATATGCAAATTAAAATTATATTTATTTATTTTTAAAATGTATCTTTTATGATAAAATGATAATATTTATATTAAAAAAATAGCATAAATATTTGTTTTAATTAAAAAAATAAGAAAATTATGATTAGTAAATACACAATTTTATTATGCAAAACACAATTTTGTTCTTTGAACCAATTAGTAATTTATATTTCTTTTTTTATCTTATTTTATTAATGGTTTATTTGTAGTTCATTATTAAATATATTGAAAATGTTTTGTATACCTATCCATATTTTGTTTTTCATATTTTTTTTTCCAATATATTGATATGTATTAAATATTATTTATATTTATCCTTATTTTATAAATTTTCTTAATATATTAATATTATTATTCATATTATTCGATCGTATGAATGTAACCAAAACATATTTATCTAACGGCCGAGTCTGTTTTTTCACCGATAATAATTTATGTCGCCAATGAACACGTTCATTTCATAAAAAAGATTGTAGTTTATTTTCTGAATATTAATTAATTATATATATATATATATATATATATATATATATATATATATATATATATATATATATATATATATATATATTAATGATGACAATATTAGTAAGTTAAGGGGTTTATTGGATTAATGTGTCCCCGTCACTTATTTTTTTGTTAAGAGTAAAGAGGATATTGCATGATCTAATAAATCGGAAAATCTTGAGAAAAATAAGAAGAATCCCAAATCGAAGATAAAAAAAGTGTTTCTATTCCTAAATCTATGGCTTATTCAGTTTTTTAGAACCCATGCATTTCTTCTTACCTCTTTTCCTTCTGATTCTCCATTTCACATCAGATAAAGGGAAGGCGGGTCCCACTGCCTCCCTTTAGAACATCATTTTTTCAGTCAACCCTTTAATTAATTCAATAATATCTCTCTCACAAAATCACCTAATTAATCGAATCAATTCATCAATCTCTTTCTCTTACGCCTAATTAATCATAATCATAATCATAATCAGATTAGGTTTCAATGTTGTTCTTCATCTCCATGAGAAGAACGTAGAAACCAATTGTTGATGGCAAATCCTACAACTCGTCATGTAATCATTGACATAACCGCAACAACAGCAAATTCAAATTCTGAAGCTTCTCCTCCTCCTTCTGTTGATGTTGTTTCTACTCAATCTTCAAATTCTAGATTAAGAAGAGGCGACGATAATTCATTAGGACGTGTTTCCCGGACTCCATTGAGTTCAGGCTTTTGTGTTTCTTTGGAATTTGTTTTTACTTTTACTCAGATTATTGCTTCTGTTATTGTTCTTAATTCCTCGAGAAATGAACATCCACGTGCTCCCTTGTTTGCTTGGATTGTTGGTTATGCTTCTGGATGTGTTGTTTCGCTTCCTTTGTTGTTGTGGAGATATTTTGCTAGGGGAGATTCCGACTCTCGAACCTCCACCACGGTTGATGATCCTTCCGGGATTCTTCTTTCGAATTCGAGTACAATACTTGGGGAAGAAGATGTTGTTCCTATTTCATCCAATGTTTCATCCAATCAAGCTTCGTCGGTATTCACCAATATGAGGTATAGAATTATTGTTAACATTAGTAGATAAACTCAAATGAATCAATTCTAGCAGATTAGTACTTGTTGTTTTCATGTCTTAGAACCTTCTTCGGGGTTTACTGGGCTTGGTTTTATTTTGCCTCCAAAACTTACTTAAACAAAACACCAAGAAAGGATGAAAGTTCTAGTGGTGAAATCAAATTAGAGCTCAATATTTGTTACATCCTCTTTACTATTGATGAAGATGGCTTTGATAGCTAAAAGTCTATCTAGAATTTGGATATTTTATTACATACTAGTATGTTTTAGCTTTAAGCCTTGTGTTGAGGGGCTCTGATTTTGACTTGTTTTACGACCGGATATTTAATAGAATTGATATACACCGTGTTGAGGGGCTCTCGTTCTCTTTGTTCTATCCGTGATATACACCGTGTAATGATAATATGTGATAAGAATATGATCTTCAAGATGCTGTTTTGCATTGCATCCCTGCTTTTTGCTTAAATTTTGAAGCTGCATCTAGTCGTACCAAGGATATAGTAGGCTGCATTTACCTTCTTTTTTTTTGTTTTAAAATTTACTATTCAGTCACTAATAGCTATGACTTCAGTTGTGAGAAGTTTATAGAGTTACTAAGCTCTTTCTTGCATTTAATCTGCAGAACCAAGATACTTATGGAATACATCAAAATCGTCCTAGATTTATTTTTTGCATCATGGTTTATTGTTGGAATCATATGGATATTTGGAGGGCATTCATCCGCTAATGAAGCTCCAAACTTATACCGGTATGTATAGCCTTTACGAACCTCTTACATTTCATATTATGTATTTTCACACCCTGCATATTAAATCTGCTTCCTTTTGCTTGACAGGTTATGTGTAGTGTTTATTACTTTTAGCTGCATCGGTTACGCATTGCCCTTCATTCTATGCTTAACAATCTGCTGCTGTCTTCCTTGTATAATTTCCACTCTTGGGGTCAACGAAGATCTCGTACAAACCAGAGGTGCAACCTCTGAGTGCATTGATGCTTTACCAACTCACAAATTCAAATTGAATAAAAGCAAAAGTATAGACGAAAACACTCCGGCTGTTATTGAAGGTGGAGTTGTTTCTGGAGGAACCGAAAAGGAACGCGTGATCTCCGGAGAAGATGCAGTAAGTACAAACTGATATTTAATTATTCACGATCCTTAAGTAAAACTTAAGGCATTTATGTTGCTCTTTCAAGATACCGAGTTACGTAGAAACCTTTATCTGACAGCAACAAATCTATAATACCATTGCTTGATTCATGGAATCATATAACATAATCTGAACATCAAAGCCAGTTTGTTTCAGTTATTTATTTATGACTTCAATAATTGTTTGTGTTTGATGAGTTTGTCTACTCACCTGTTGTACCTTCCGCGCTTGTGTGCAGGTTTGTTGCATATGCATAGCGAACTACGAAAACAACGATGATTTGAGAGAATTGCCTTGTTCACATCTTTTCCACAAAGATTGCGTAGACAGGTGGTTAAAGATAAATGCATTATGCCCCCTTTGCAAGAGGGAAGTTGGCGGGAATGAAACAGAACCAGTCATCGAGGAAAATGCCAGCCAACAAAGGGGCGAGACCGGGTTTGAGAATAGTCCTGCCAATACCTTGTCATAATATAGTTGCACATATATGATCATATACATAATCCAGACTATGCAGTTTTGTAAAACTTTTCTTTCCTATCATATGCCCACTCTTTTCCTCGGATTGATGTCTGAATCTTAGTGCATCTTTGAAATTACGGTGAATTTGACAATATTACGGGAACACGCCGTATTTTGTTGAAGTTTCAAAGTGCAATTTTTGGCCAAATTCACAGTGGTGCATTGTGATTGAGCAAAACTCAGCGTTATTCTAAATATGTACTTACTTCGATCATTTTGTTTTGTTTTTGTTGATAAATAGTGGGTTGATATCGGCCAATGTTTCCCTGGCCGATACTGGAGTTGTAAGTGAATGGAGGTTATACTGGCGGAGGCTTTGATGAGGGAGATAATTATTAATAATAGAAAGATAGAGATAAAGGAGTTGAAGTGTAAATCAGAGGGTTTCTTCTTCTTCTTTTGTATTTGGTTTTTGATTCTACTTTCTAAGAAATAATATACACAAAGAACAATAGTAATGATAACTCGCAACTTTGAAGCAACTTTATTTGAATTTTTTAAAGAAATTATCAAGATATAAATAGGATTAATCTAAAATTATTAGAAACAACAAATAAATAATGCTAATGTTTTTCATATAAACGCGATATTTAATATGACATTATTTTCACATTTTAGATAAATGTATACCTATTTACGTGTGAGATGTCCAACTATAAAACCAATGAAGGGACCACAAAGGGACCACATGATACTGCTCAATGAAATTATAAGATAAAAAATGTTGGATAAGTATAGCTTAAATTCTCCCCTAGTCTTTCATTATCCCCTCAAATTATACGAGTATGATTTTTATATGTTCAAATTCTAGAATTCAAACACATTTTTTTCTTCATACTCACTTCTGCATTTCGCTTGCATAAAAAAATCTTGAAATTCGAAATAGTTTGCATTGTCTTATTTTTCAACAAATTTTGGTTAAATAATCACGTTTTGAACCATTTAATAAGAGGAGATGATTTTGACACTGGTTGACGTGTCTTATCTTCATGTTTCTGTTCATCCAAGATCGTTTGCTTGACCACAATAGATTGACCAAACCTAAAATGACGGATAGATGAGTTGACTGGATCTTATCTAAAGAACGTTGTGTGTGAGTTGAAAAGACCAAGATGAATTATGTTTGTTTAGTTTCTTAAAAGATGAGTTTGAAAGACACCTGGTTACAAGGGTTTTTGACACAGTTGGTGACGAGGCAGCCAAACACGTGCACGAGTAATATGCCATCAGAGTGAAGCAATTTTACTGGCAGGCGCGACTATATTCTCAAACAAGAGCACCACTTGCAATTATACGGTGTAATTGAAGTGTTTTAGTGATTTCGTTTGGGGGCATAATTCTCCTGACTATTTATATAGGGATTTTATTGCGATCACGAAGTTTAAGATAAAGCAAGCGACATGATATATGACCGTCTAATATGTTCATGTAACTATTTTGGCAGGCGCGACTATATACTTAAATAAGAGCACCACTTACACTCATGTGGTGTAATTGGAGTGTTTTTGCGATTTCGGTATGGTTGATGATTTTCTTTGGGGGGCATATTTGTCCTAACGTATTTATATAGGGATTTTATTGCTACCACGAAGTTCAAGATGAAGTAAATGGCATGATATATGACAGTTTAATTGTAACGGTAGAAATGTTGAGACTAAGATATTGGATTGACTTAACTCGTATAAATCAAATAAAAATCGTCATTGTGTTTTATTGTTTCCAAAGAAAATAGAAAAAGAGCGAATAAATCCAAAAAGAGGGAGGATAATCTAGGTACGAGGATTGATTATGCAAAAGAAAGGTATTAGCACCTTAAACATTTACGGTACTCCACAAGAACCTCTTTGAAAATCTGTATATTTTAACTATAAAAGGTGTGTACAAAAAAAATAGATGCTGGAGATGAGAAAAGAAGTATTTTTTTTATAATTTTTACACCCGTCGCGGTTGTGAACCTTTAGTGTCTATCACCTTCCGTGTAATAGGGGATCAGGGTACTCGTAGTTCGCCTCAAAAGTTTTAAAACATGAGTGTGTTGGTTAATTTTAAGAGAAGAGACATCATTGTCATATCTGAATGGAAAACATACTTACTATCCACGATTATGAAGAAGGAGAATTTGCATCACCTCAAAGTGGATGATATAACTTGGATTTTAAAATCAACAAAGTCTCACTCAATATCCAAATAGAAAATATCTCACTTTACTACACATCGTAGAAGTATAGTAGCTCGCATCACTACAAGAATCGCCAAGAGTATAATCTTTTGGAAAAAAAAATTTTAAGTAAAAAGCCAAAGTAGAAAAATGGTTTGAATGAGATTAGTTGACTTTTAGTCTTGAGAAAGACGTCAAAGTATGATTAAATTGATTAATGTTTGATTAAAAAAGATTTTGAAAATGCATGGACTCGAGTCCAAGTTTATTATGAAAGCGATTCAAGTTAGAAAAACAAGCAGAGTTTTGAAAATGAGGGAGAATATTTTTGAATTTAAAGAAGACGGAAGAAGATGAATGGACTATTATAAAGCATAAGGTAAAAGCTAAGCAAAAGAGCGATCTAACCAACAAGAAGCTATCACTTGACATGAAAAAGTCAAAATAGAATTCTCATCTTTTGGATTGAAATCAAACAAGCAAAAATATTAAACCTCTGAGAAATACCAAACTTCAGATGAATTAAGTCTTCACAAAAATTGGGTAGAGTAACGGTTGTATATAGAGGAATTCTCAATCACAAGTAAATCATATAATCAAAATAATCTGCACACAAAGAAAAATCAACTCAATGCCTTGGAGTAAACTCCAAGAACTTCAGACAAAATAACAACAGAGCAATAAGGTCCCCAAGTATCAAAACTTCTAATCCTAAGTCCGAGAGATCCACAACTACACAATGCCAAGGATAGTAACCAGATAGTCCAAGTAACCTTAAAGTTTTTTAATGTTGAAGTTGATTATCAAGTCTCTTTAGAAGAAAAGAAATCTCAAATGAGCAAAGATAAAATGACATAAAGATAAATGTTCAAATGAACAAAAGAAAAATGGCATAAAATGTAAATGCTAAAGTAAATGGTACATAAAAAATAAAGGCACAAAATAAAGGCATAAAGTAAAGTTAATTGTTAGTTAATTAGAAGTTAGAAGGTTAGTTGAATGGCCATTTTAAAGCTTGCATTTGAAAACTCATTAGAAGATTGATAAAATCAAAGCTTCTCAACAAGTCTCATTTTTTTATTATCAATTATATCATTCATTTCAAGTACTCAAGGAAACCACATATAATCAACGATGTTCAAATGATCCACTTAGACCAAAATTCATGGAGTTCATTAGAGGATTGATAGAATCAAAGCCTCCTAACAATGAACTTAAAAGTTATTGGATCCAAGGTTTCAAATTAAACATACTTGGGCTTACAAACATAAGTTTGAGCCACAAATGATCATTTTTTGAATCAGGACAAATTCAGCGTTATGTTAAGCAATCGTAAGTGGACTTATGTAGAAATGCCACACCTATTTTGAGGTCGGTCAATAGCAATTTATGTACCAACATGTTAAGAAATGATATGTAGATTATTCTCTAAAAACATGTAGTACAACAAGAAAGGGATAAGATGAAGAAAGAGGAAGATGTATCAGATGAAACTAGGGTTTCAAATATCATCAACATCATTTATCCATTATGGTTGTTAGCTGGCTATTTCGAATAAGGAAGAAACCACTATCGAAATAATATTTCGAATAAAGTAACTAAGGAGATTAATATCAATATTGGATATTAGTGGGAGATATGGAGTCATTATGTTGAAGGATTGTTCAATTTCCAGCAGATTTCGATTTGGACTTGTTTTAGTGTTCGAATTATAAAAGAGCTCATTTATGCAAGGGTGCCAGAAGTTGGAAACGGTCCAAGTAATTGGGTTATTTCGAAAGCAACAAAGAAACAAGATGCTTCGATTGGTACAGATTTCGCAAGATGCTTCGATTGGTACAGATTTCGAATTTCAAATAAAGAGCGTCATTCTAGAAGACGCGTGGAAGTCAGCAAACATAGGAAGCCTGCATGCTTTGAACGTGGCGTAATTTTAGAATAGGACCGTTAGGGTCAAGACATTATAAATAGGTGTTATTATGTTAGATTTAAGGATGTTCACTTTTATGTACTAAAAGATCTCAAAATACTCATACTTCCGTGAATTAAGGAAAACGAGTCAGAAGATACAATGTATGTCTTGAACATCATTACTTTTTTACAATTTCAATACAAGTCTTGTTATATTTAGTTCGCCATTACAGTATTTCCTTGCTCTTTGCATCCTTCGATTTCCTTGCATTACAGTTATTTTGTTGCCTTTAAATCCTTCGATTTCCTTACATTTCCTTGCATTACAGTATTTCGTTGTCATTTAAATCCTTCGATTTCCTTGCATTTCCTTGTCTTACTTGCCTTTAAACTCGTTAGACAGTATTTTTACCCTTAAATCCTTCGATTTACTTTTGCTTTATCCTTTTAGTCAAACACTTATCTTTACATTCAAGCCCAAGTTTAATTCGAAGCCTTTCCTGCCTACATTCAATTAGTTTATTCCTATAGACCATTTTAAAAATCTTTCCTAAGAATCTCATATTCGAACTTAACATACAATATAAGTCTATCAATATAATAGATATGAACATAAAAATAAGTTATGACACATGTGTTCTAGGATCAATCTAGTCGATCCTGCAAGTAACCAATAATAATTAGTAAATTGGAAGACTAGCGGTTGTTTACTAGAAATCACTGTAAATAAATTGGCACACCTGGTAGGACAGTGTCATAACAAAAAGTTTTATCAAACAAACATATTAGAGAAGTTTTAAGGATTTTCTGAGTGTGGAGCGCATTTCGGTACATGAACCTTCGAAGCGGAAAAATAAAGAATAACAATCCACATATACCCAGAAAACAACGTACCAAAATAATGGTTAATACAACCAACCAAGATGGGGTACAAAATCCTCCACAGGGGGCTGCAACAATCGTTTCAAGTTCGATTGATGCCTCCAATGCCATTCCTGTTGGCAGTTCGAATACAATCCCAGTAAGTACATTAGACATGCCATCAAACGTGTCTTCAGTGCAAACTGCGCCACACATAGGGAATCAACAGTAATCGACCCCCCATAGGCCTCAAGGTTTCGAACCTTTGAGACCCAGAAATCCTCAGTATGGGATGCCAACTTCGTTTATGGCAGGGTTACATAATGCATCAACTTCGTCCCCACTCCAAGGATCTGGTTCAGGAATGAACCATTTGGGTACAAATTTCCAGAATATAGGAAACTTCTCCCAATTGCCTACTCTTACAACCAATAGTCAGGCAACCCTTAGACAACAGATGGATGATAGCAATCATGATATGGTAGGAATCTTAGCCCGCGAAATGAATGTTATTTTCAATCCCCTAATCCAGAATATAAATAGAACAAACCAAGAAAATGCAGCCCAGATG